CTTTGCTTTTGATTAGGTTATCTTGACATTATAACTTGGTAATAGTGTTTAGCAAATTAACCTGTATTAATTCATGTTGTTTTTTATGTTATTTTTTAATTGAATTATTTTCAAATTTTATCATTTAATATTAGGATTTTAGCTTCATAATTTTTTTTATTTGATTTATATTGGGTAATTTTTTTATTTGATTTATATTGAGTTATCTTAGTCTCATGACCTGGATTGTGGGTTTAGCATGTTAATTCAAGTTAAATTGTATTTGTTCCTACGAGGTTATTTCAGTCTTATAACTCAAGTTATATATTTATATGGATTGACTCAGGTCAATTTTTTTTATTTTTTTATTTTTTTAATATCATCTTTAACATTCATCTAATTAGAAATTGAACTTTTTTATTTGGTTTATATCGGTTTAATTATCTCAAGCTTATAACTCAAGTCATAGGTTTACCATGTTAACTCGGGTTTTTTTTATTTTTTTTAATTTTATCATTCAACATTAGGTTAATTAAGAATTGGGTTCATGATTTTTTTTATTTGTTTTTTATAGGGTTGTCATGATCTCATAACCCAAGTCGTGAATTTTGTATATTAACCTGAGTTGACCTAAGTCAATCTAATATATTGTCATCTTAATATTTTTTTAAAAAAAAGATGTATGTTTGAAATTTATTTGTGTCAAATTATATTTTTAGCAGTTATTTAAGTTATCTTTAGACCTGTCAATTGAATTAGGTTATACTGAATCAACTTCTGCAAGGTTTTAAAAAAATGTTTCACTAGAAAAAAAAATATTAGCAACATCTATATATTTTTTATATTAAAAAATATGATTTGATCCGCAACGTAGCATAGGTTAATTATCTACTGAATAAAGAAATTGAAATGAAATAAAAAAATTTACAAATGGCCAAAGAAAAAAAATAAAAGAAAAGGGACAAAAACAATTTATTGGAGGGCTAAGTTGGAAAGAAAATAACTCCAACAAAAAGAAAAAAATAAACAAAATATGGATCAAATTGAAATAAATAACATACCATAAACTTGGATTGAAAAGTGAAATTAAAAACCAATAAAATTTATATAAAAAAGGATAGGTAAAAAAACAAAAATGAAAGGAATAAGGATCAAGTTTAAAAACATAATATATATGATAAATTATAATTGAAGAACTAAATAAAAAAATAAAAATTTTACCAAAGGACAAAGAAAAAAAGATAAGAAATTAAAATAAAATTAACTGAATTAGAAATAGCAAAAAAAAGAAGAAGAAGATTAATCTGCAATTTCTAGAGAGAAAAGAAGAAGAAAGAAAAATAAAACTCATCGAAAATAAATTTCCCAATAACCCTTAATACATGTTGGACTAGGAGGAAGAGTAAACAGTAGCTCATCCAATGACATGGTGAAAGGATCACCATTTGAAGTGCGCAACGCCTCCCACATGTTGAGACATTTCACTCACATACTAACAACTGTTAAAAATTTAATAGTTTTAAATTTTAGTAAAATATCATAATGCCCTCAATAAAAAAGTAAATAAAAAAACAACATAAAAGGATAAAAAAACCCCTTGTCCTAAGGCTTTTATTTTTTACTTTAAAAGCATTTAAGTAACTAATTGTACATTCATGAAGATAAAACCAAAACTACCCCTAAATTTTAGACATTTTTTTCTCTCTCCAAATAGAATTTAATATCTTTATTGTTTATAAAAAAATCCAAAGGACCTTATTACTTATATCATCCAAGCCAAATGTTTTCACTTTGAGGGGTAAAATCATAATCCCTCTACTCTAATCCACAATACATATGAGGCACATGCTATCATATTTCACATAGTTCAAAAGACTCTGTCCTTTTAGTTTTTCTTTTATATTTATTAAAACCATTTATGAGCTCATTATCTCATTTATATAAGACACATCTTACAATTTATATATATAAAAAAGTGTTAATTTAGAAACCTCGATGTTAAGCAAGTGAGAGACAATACCATTAAATCTTATTTAAATGCACTCTAGACAAGGCCCAACAAACCAATGAAATATTTTTCAATGATTATTCTATATAGATTAAACCTAAACTCTAGATAAAAAGAGATTTATAGAGGAAAAATAATGGTTTAAAACCAAAAAATAATATTAAAAAAATAAGGTGAGGTGTCCTGTTAAAATAATACAGAATTAATTGACACCAAAAACCCTTGTTCATTCCCTTCTCATAAAGAATTTTAGAAACTAGAAGTTGATAGATTTTCCCTACTAATAGCTTTGACTACCCATAATAAGTTAGAATTAAACATGAATATTTTTTTTTATTCAAATGACTTTTAAGATAAAAAAAAATGTGTTCATTTACTGTTGAAAGAGTTTTGAAAAAACTAACCAAATTCTTCCTTTCATGGACTAGACAAACTAATAAGCTACAAAAAATAATATTCATAAGGCCAGGCTTAGCCCAAAACCCGAGCACAAGTTAAGTCAAGTAAATATGCATATAGGTTTAAAGTCAAAGCCTACTATGCTAAGAGCTCTCCCCTTTAAAAAGTTAGATGCCCTATGAACCTAATTTTAACTTTTCACTTTATAAATACCAAGAAAGTTTTATTTATTTGTTATATAGGATAGAGTTCTTTTAAAGAGTTTTGGGTTTCAAAACATGTCATCTAAAGGTAATTGAAAATCAATTTCTTATTCATTCATAATTTATCTAAATCATGTTCTTCATTTTAAAGAGTTTATATTAAAGATTAAATTTTAATAAATTTTTATCCTAAAAAATGAATGCGCCGTACTTTTATCTTGGTCTCAAATATGTCTGTTAAACATGTTCTTAAAAAAATTTTTTAACAATCCT